ATGGGTAACAGTAGAAATTCACCTTAGACGAGTAGAGGACGAGAAAGGATTCATGATTGGGTCCAAGGTTGAAACTTTTTATAGAGAGCTCAATTCAGATCCAATCAAATGAAAACTAAACCAAATGCTGCGACTAAATCAATCACCGAATTAGCGCTATTAGGAATAAAATCCTTTTTTTTTTTTTCAAAAATCCTAGAATCTGTAATTCAAGATCCAAGATGATGGAATTCGAATTCGGAGATCTAAGAAAGAGAACCAAACAAAGATTTGGATCTGAGCGACAGAGAAAACGAAGTCTCTGTTTTCCTTTTTCTTTTCTTCTTTTTTCCTAGTGACATGAAAATGCTGACTGGTTCTTTTGTCTCTGTCAAAAATATTTTTTTAAAAAAAAATTAGAAAACAAAACGAAGCGGGAACTTCACTCAAATTTTCGTTTGCGAGTGCTTGGTGGATCACATGCGGGTAAAAAGATGAACAAATGACTCCGGATCTGCTATTGCGTTAAATTTGCCTATTGGAGCTTCAGCATCCTGCTGTCATATGACAGGGCGTGATTCATTGGCCAGTAAGAGATTTGTAATTGACGGCGCGGGAAGGAAGTAGTTTTCCAACTATTAAATGCTTTTCATTTTTTATTTTTTTGAACGGTAAAGAATTTTTGACTTCATCTATGCATCTTCATACAAAGCTAATTCAAATATACTTAGACTGCACTTGAATTAAAATGGAGCTGCAATTATATTGTATGATGCAAAAATATCCACTTGAGTTGGTATAATGAAAATAAATTTTCATCAAGCTACATCTCTAAAATTTGACTGATACTTCAAGCTTGAGTGAAAAAACTCATCATGCAATTTTATTTTATCAAATAAGCTCACGTTATTTTTTCTTTTTATGAGATTTTAGTGTAGCAATGAAAATGTATTTAGCCTATTCTATTCCATTTTTTGGTTTTTTTTTTATTTGATTTTTTATTTAAAAGTTTTTTTTCCATTTCTTTTTATTTTTTTATTTCATGTATTCTTTTAAATTTTATTTTGAATAAAAATAATTATCATTTTAATATAAAAATAATTATTATCAATTTTTTAAAAGATCATTTTTATATATTATTATCAATTTTATTAATTTTTAAATATTTATTAACAAAATTATTATTTGAAACAAAACTAATTTAGTAAATTTTAATTATTTATTAATTTTATAAAATGTAAGACAATTCTATATAAATTATTTTATATAGAATTTGGACAGTGAGTGAGATTGAAAATAATGATGGTAATAAGATTAATTATTGTAAAAATGAGATTAAAATCAATGATAAGATATACGTTTGGATATAAATGTAATAGTGACGATGAGATGAAAATAAAAATGACCATTAAGACATTAATCTAAAAGTGAATTAAAATTTTATTTTAATGCATATTTAATTTCATTTAACATTTAAAATATTAAAAATTTAATTACTTAAGGGAACAAATAGGCAAAAAAAATTATATGAGTAAAAATAAATGTTATTTTTAAATTCACATAGTTATTTTAATCATAATAAAATTATATACATAAATATTTATATATAAAATTAAATTAAAAAATATTAGTGAGAACAAAAATATCTAAAATGAGGTGTGTTGTCTTATTGTCACTTTCTCCATTAGTGAAAAATCTTCACCTCATTAGTGCCACATAAACACAACTGAAACACAGTTATATAATCCAAACAGTCAACTGTAGCGCCATTGCACCAAAAAATTACTCCATCGCATTGTAACGTGGTTGTGATTCAGTCTAAGTGCGGCTTTAATGAACTTTGTTATACCCGGTTCGTTTGATTAACCTTGTTGATCCTCACACTCGTTAAATCAGCACATATTCAAACATCCATATCACTCATCCACAATGGTCGATGCCAAACTGGTCGTCCACCATATCCATTACCCCCAAAGCCGTTTGCGTAATTATATGTGCAAACATTTAATCAACAAATTACCTCACGACATATCTCCTATCCTTAGGTCATTAATTGTCAACAACCTCATATTGACTCACCATCAACTTCATGCGACCCATCAATTGTCAACTGCTCACATTATATCACCGTATATATGTCATATATAAGGTGAAGAAAAAAAATTCAGGTATGCAAATCTAAATTTTCTTCTCCAAGCTTCTTCTTTTATTTCTCCTACCTTTTCTTCTTCTTTCATCTCAATCCTCTTCACTTGATTGACTTGAGCATTAGAATACATTTTAAAATCTTAAATGCCTCTTAATCATACTATCCTTACTACGAGTCCAACTCACTTCCACCTCACCTTTCAACTAAACTCCACCTTATCACTATAAAATTACATCCAACGAATTTATAATATATATATATATATATCTTTACACGATCTTTGCTTAAATTCGATTGAGAAATGTAAACTCACTTTGCATATTTATTTTTTATAAGATTGTCGAAATGTCATTGTAGTCAATTTTATGAGCTTTTCATAAGTGAAGGGCTTAAAATTTGGGAAATTTATAAATACCACCTGTTGATAGTTTAAAATATAATGCATTTTACATTGAATAGAAAGATTTAATTATTGATAAATAAAATTAAATTTTGTATTAATTTTATTTATATTTTAAATAATTATGTTTAAACAAAAATAATTATCATATGACAAATTATTATAACTATTTGAATATAAATATATTATTATTCACTAATAGCTATTTAAATAGAAGTTTGTGTCTATTCATTCATTATAAATAAATCTTTTAGTATAAATTCATTACTTCTACTTAAAGAATTTTAAGGTTTATTGTATCGTAGAGGCTTAATTGCCTTTAATTAAAAAATGTTATTCACGCCTCAAAATTAAAATTATTTTTTATTATTTTTATTCTCTTATTTATTTTTTTCTAACAATTTAAAAATAATTATGAAATTCATATTTCGTATGAAAAAATACAAGAAAAAATTTTGGCAAAGTTGGTAAACTCGACTTTTGAAACAAGCATGGAAAGCTTCAATTATCCAAATAATTTCTTGGTGAAATAAAAAACAATATAAGTTTCTTTTTATTATCTTTCTAATTTTTATATTCTACTAAAAGAATTATTAATAATTCATAAGAGATCTTGTGTCTCATTAAATTTTGCTTTTTTTTTAACTATTCTTTTAATCTTTTAATTCTAAATTAAATTATTTAATTTATGATTTATAATTTTATGGTATATTATATATGGATTTTCTTGATCATGGCACTAAAGGGTCATGAGTATAAAACAAACATAGAATTATTCAAAAAATTCAAAACATTAACAACAACATTAAAACTTAGCCTACAAATTTGTACGGAAGAGATGTCTAAAGGATTTTTCAAAAAATTTATCTCATTTTGTGCTACCACAAGATCATTTATTCTTAGCATTGTCTATCATGATTACGCCAACACAAAAAAAAAAAAAAAGTATTAATGTTGTGGTAATTATTGAGTGTAAATTTTAAAATTATGTAATCTTCATGAAATTAATATAATCTTCATGAAATTAATATGGTCATGTTTCGTTTAAATCAATTTAATTTTGTCACGCTCTCAATCAATAAAAAAAACATTCAAATAAAAATCGTTAAATAAAATGAAGAAGTTAAGATTAATTATTCAAATTGAAAATCCAAAAAAGTTAAAAAATTATGTGTAACATCTCTATAGAAGTACAAACATAAAAAATCTTGCCCTATATCACAATCGTAGAACGAGTATGAAGAAAAGTAATGGAGGAATGAAAAATGAAAGGAAGAGAAAATTGAATGTGCAAAAAAATAAATAGAAGATTTATGAATGTATAAATATCATTATTGAGATTTTTAAATTTAAAAAAGAAATATATCTATGTAGCTTGTGAAATTTAAATTAACTAAAATAAAACTTTTTAAATTTAAATTTATACTAGAATTTAATGTGAAATAGATAATTAGGGCAAGATTTTTTTTTAAATAATAAAATTATTCATTATGAAGGGATAAACTCCATATTTCAAATTTTTATTGTTTTCAAAAAATCTATAGATTGATTTGGTTTGCAATTGTTATTTGAATAATTGTTTATATTTTAATAAATTTTAGATTTGTAATTAAAAAAATTGTTTCACTTTTTGAAAAAAATTATTTATGTGTCATTTAAAGAATTATCTAAATAATCATCTATGTGGCATCTTATCAAGTATCTATGTATTTTATAATATAATATATATTAGATTAGATATAAAAGATTTAGAAAAGTGAAATTTTTTTAATTTCACAAGCGAAACTAAGATGATGATACATATTTTTTAATATATATTTAAAAAAAATTAATTTAAAAAATAAAATATATGTCATTATCTTAATCCATTTATAAAATTAAAAAACTCTATAGTATCTCCAATCAAATAATCTTTTTAAAGAAACTAAAACATGATGATGAATCTTCAACGGTCCAAAGTAACATGACGATGAAATGGGTACAAATCTTTAAAAAGATGCAATCACTTGCATTTCAAAAACTTAGAAGAAAGTTTACTATCATTTATTTATAAACTAAATTTGTTAACTTAAGGATTAAAGCAAGGTAATAAAGGATGGAATCGCGCATTCAACATGTAAAATATTTTTCGTTTTTATCTGAAAATGTTATAATTTTGTCTTACAAAAACACTTCATAAATATAAGTTCAAATCTATGAATTCTCAAAGTGAGACTAAGACTTACATAAGGAATGATTGAGATAGTTCATAGATTTCCTTAAAGAACACATGATGTACTGATAGACTGAACTCAATTATATAGAAAATTGAAAACTTTTATTAGAAGCTGAGATGAAGAGTGAATCAGAGAAAAGAGATCTTCATGATATGTAACACCAGTAGCCTTACAAATTTTAGGCTAGCTGAGAGTGAAACCAAATAGCACTAAAGCTGCTCCACCGGCCACAGAAACTCATTTCTCTGGGAACAAATCTTAACTATTATATCCTAAATTTTGAAGTTCCAATATCAAGCTGGAATGAGGTAATTACTCCAAAATCTCTATTAGGTATTTAATAGCCACGATTATAACCCAAACTTGATCGGAAGCGAATATTGCGATGATCATACGTGTTGTCTCCATATTCAACAGATTTTATGCCCGCAGCTTCACGGTTCCCATCTTGTTCTTGAAGTGCCCCAACAACAATCTCATTGGTTTTCTCATGGCTCTGAACATGGTAAGCATGTGGGGTGGATGATTGATAGCGATGCTGCTGCTGATGCCGGTGCTGCATATCATCATCCCATCCATTGTAGAAGGCCTGGCTTTGACGCAACTGATGGATCTTTTCTGCATTTTTGGACATGAAAGGGTATGTTTTCCGTGGAGTGGGGGTTTGGGTATCAATTGACGGGGGCTCATCTTCATCTGGTATCACAAAGCTTTCTTGGGCTGGCCAAGGCATTGAGTGCTTCTGTTGTTGATGGTGCTGGCTCTGATGTTGATAGCTTAGTGGTTTCTTTCTAAAACCAGGAAATACTCCTCCCAAAATTTCCAAAGCAGAAACACCACCATTGACAAAAAGCTTCCCAAGGGATCCAAAGAAACCTTCTTCTTGCTTCTCTTGCTCATCTTCAGTTCGAATTAAAGGTGGCCTGACTGATTTCAGGGGTTTCTGATATGGACTTGATACAGCAGCATTCACTTTAACTGAATCCTGATCCTTCAAGAATAGAGGAACGAACATAAAAAATTCACCATGTTTTAGAAGATGATTTTGGAAACTTAAGTTTAGATGAAAGCTAATACTGCCATTTCATTGGTGAATTTTGCAAGGGTGATTTTTTTTTTTTTTACAAAACAAGACAGCCATCATGAGACAATTTCCAGTGAAAGAAAGGATGGTTTCTGTCCTCATCTTCGTTCAAATTTTGATCTCAAGCATCTATTCTCTTCTGTTATTGAACAAAGCTTAGGATTGATGAACACTTTCTGTGATAATATTTTGACACACAAGACTCAGCCAAAGCAAATGTCAAGTTAAAATATCCCTGAGAAGAATCATATATAAAGAATTTGCATATAAATAATAACACTGACTACTCACATTCTGGGATGATACAATGGTGCCCACTCTACGTTGCAGCAAAGCTAGCATGTAACCAAAGAATAAAGCAGCGACAAGTACAGCGATTCCTGTAATGACAGAAATTATAATGTGTAAACCACCACCACTTACAACTAATGAAGATAAAATTCGGGTGGATTAGTCTACCAAGAGGAAAACCACTTCCATACTGATAGGCACAGTCATCAAAATGTAGTTGAATCTCCCTGATTGCTCGGTTTCCTCTATCTATAATGAGAAGGGAGCAACTGCTTCCAACATAGACCACATCAAAATCATTAGAAAACTTTGCATCTTCACTAGTTCCATCTATATGTCCCCCTCCCCGGCTCCATTTTCCACCAGCAATTGTTGTAACACCTGAAGATGATTTCGTATGTATGAGCAATAGTTGACAACCATCCCCATTTTGAGTGAGAATACTGATAGCATCTTTTGAACATTATAAGACATTATGAAAACTTAACATAATGACTACTGTTAAGCTTGCCAAAAATTATCCCATTCATATTTTTAAGAAAAGAACATACAATGGCAAATGTTTAGTACATAAAATACCAAGGACATGGAGGTAAGAGGCAAGGAGCATAAAATACCTAAACTTAATAGAGTTAAGTCAAATAACAAGTGAATTAGATATTTCTCTGTTGGGAAACTCGGTGATTACATTGCTAACCTGCATCACTTATCTTCCTGATTGCCATGTTCATAGTGTCTGCAATATAAATGTTCCCTCTGTCATCTACTGCAAGCCCTTTTGGATGGTTCATCCTTGCCTCTCTGGGCTTCCCATCTACATGTCCAGTGTATCCTTCAGGGGATCCAGCGACCAGCCTTGGTCTACCATCTGCAGTTCTCCAATAAATTTAAATGAAATAATCAAAAGAAAAGACTTGCCCATTAACAAAATCAAAATGATAGCATGACTATATAATTGCATGAGTGAATACTTATATCTTTACTCATGATCAATCATAACAGATGTTTTAAGCGTGCACTAGCGTGCTTAAGAGTAACATGGTTGAGATGTCAAATAAATGGACAGAGGGAAATTTGCTTAAAAGTTGCAGTGAATAGGTAACACATCAAAACAACCTAATAAGGCTAAAACTGAGCAGGAGCAAAATAAGTTAGGAGCATTCCCAAGTTACCAAGTTCAGCTAGAAAATGTTATAATTCCCCAAATGACAGGAATACTTTTAATCATAGATCTATTTGTTGCCATCTTATTTGCAGCAAAACACAATACTAGTATTGATAAATATAGGTAGTACAACTACATTCTTCTAACTTCTAACTAATCAATATTTTTACTACTAAAATATTATCCGGATCTAACTTTCAAAAATTTCAAATTTAGTAATTGGAAATGCATTAGAATAATTTAATTACATTAATATGGTTGACACACGAAACAACCAGCGCTAAAAAGGCCCATGAAAATTAAAAATTACACCAAGGACTGAGAGGGGAATGGGGAAGGTATACCAACACAGCAAAAACGTGCACTGTCCTTTATGAGGCAAGTTGACTGACAGGACTTGACAGCCAACAGATTCAAATACTTCATGTGTTTCAATTAATAACAAGACTTAGAACAATCAGAACGCAAAGATCATGCTAAAAAAGCAATGTGATTAGACAAACAAAGCAAACAATTTAAACTACTAAAGGCAAATGCAAAAAAAATTAACTAAGCCAACCATTTGAATAACATTACAAGAAAGAAGAAACCCACTTACACAAAGATAAAGAAGCAGAAATCCGATAAAGGTTGCTATTAACAGAGTCCAAAATCAGAAGCTCCCCACTAGGCAAAACCTCAACAGTGTGAGGCTCAATCCCCAGCTTACTTCCATCAAACACAGTCTCCACGGTGTATCCACCCTCAAACTTCATCATTGGACGGCCAGTAATTGCTATACACGCATAAATCCCATGGAGACCACCATATCAGATGCCAATCTCCAAAGCCAAAAGAAAATTTTGAAAAAGAAAAAAACAAAGAAAAGAAATGTGGGTTCTAATAGCCAAGGATCTAAACCTGTTTTGGTGGTAGTTTTGAGTGACCATAACCATTTCATAAAAGCAGACAAAGCATTGGAGAAAAACCCACTAACGATTTCTGCAAGAACAAAATAAATCAAATGCATTTGTCATCGAAGCAAGGATTTAAGTTTTAAACTAAAAGCTGATCAAAACAAAAAGCAAGCCATTTTATTCTTTTGAAGCTTACTTGCAGGTGAAGAAGTAGTAGGAGCTGAAGAGAAACCTCCGAGAAGAAGAAGAAGCAAAAGAGCGACACCCAAAACCAATACATTTTTTCCCATTGCTACTTTCACACAAGAAAAATAAAACCCAAAAGAGAGCTCTTAGATATGAAAGGAGATTCAAGCTTTACTCACTGAGAAGAAAATCAAAACCCTATTTGAAATCTGGGTCTTTTGCAGAAAAGTGATTGAACAAGCATGAGCAAGAGTAAAACAGTGTGCCTTTTAATGGGTTTTTCAATAACAATGAAAAAGATGATCTTTTTCTTGGTTTTTTAGAGGGTGCAACAGTGTATAGAGTAGAGTGAGTGTTAAGAAGAAGAAGAGAAAAGGGAAAGAGACAAGAAAAGGATGAAAAAGCAATGAGAAAAAAAATAATAAAGCAAAAGAGCCAAAGGGTACTCACAGTAATAGTGAGAGTTGGAGAGAGAGAGAAAATCAATATGATATGAAGTGATTAATGCAAATGTCGAGGCTTAAATGCTACAGTATTCGTTGTTACAGAAGGTTTGGCAACAACGTACATTTATTCCCTCCCTAAATCCCCTGCTGTTTTCCATTTTTCTATTCTTAATGAGCATCTTTGTTTTTTTTTTTTTTTTGGAAAACGAAAAGTTCATTCAAAAGAAGGTATAGTACCTTCTCCATTGCCCACTTCATCCTCTTAGCTATATTATGACTTGTGAGTCATCATATTAGCTTCTTTCTTGACATGCATACAGTCAAGAATTTCAAAGACCAAAGCACCCCTCTGCTTTGTTGATAACATTAATAGCCAACGTGTTATTACTCTCCATTAGCATTAGAAGCTGCATTGGTGTTTAATTTAAGAATTTGTGATAGAAATTTATTTTGAGCAAACCTCTAGCTGACCACACCAATCTCCAAATTGGAGACCTGTACTCAACAAAATAAGCTGACTTCATATTGCATTGCCCGAGTTTATCTTCAATCCAAATGAGTTTATCAGCTACACACGGTGGTATTTGAAGGATCATACCATCATCTCCTGAATGATAGAGTTCACTAATCACCACCACTTTCCTCACCACTTTCCTTGTTCAAGTGTCCCGAATGCGAGGTTTATACAAAAGGAGGTTGTAACAATACCCTTTCTTCCTTTCACTATGTTAATCAAACTAGAATAAGAAAATTTTCTCCCCTACTTCTCTAACGTGTAAGCCCCTCAACTATCCTAAAAAACCACATTCTTCGTCGCCTCCATATTTACTACCTTACCAGTCAGCGCCTTTCCGTTGAGACAACTTGTACCTTCTGTTCTGCCAATGTTTTTTTCACCCACTCATGCTCCACAACCAACTCAGCCTTCTCTGTTTCTGTCAGTGAAAACTCAGACCATAAATCCCCTGCCATCCGCCCTGTTATGTGAAAAATATAATCCCTGATCCTGCCACCCAATATAAAAAACAAAATTAGGAAAGAAAAGACCAAAACTTGTATCGAGACATGACAAAATACTCACCAGACAAAACCACATTACCATTGATGTCTAATGTTTTGGTGCATCCACCTCCAACCTATTATAAACTTTTTTTCTCACTCAACTTTTTTTTTGGAAATGAGTAAAGAAATGTCCTTTATAATGGTTATTTTTTTCAGTCTGTGGAGTTTAAGAAAAAATATATATTTGGTTTAACTCATTTTGATCAAGAAGAATTACCCTTTTAATGGAAACATTACTTAATTTCTAAATTAGCCAGAGTATTTTTGCTTCTAGATCTCCCATGCTTACCATTTGCTACATTGAAGCAGCAAGTTGAACATAGAATGATACAGTAACAAATGGAAAGGTGGGGCTGTAAAAAAGAATCTTACTCTACGGCACCGATTTATTTGATAAAAAATTATCGAATCATAATAAAAACTTTGCTTAAAATTTTATCATTTATGAGTGTGAATTCAATATAAAATTTTAATAAATTTCGTGTAATTTTAAATTGTGATTAATTAATTATAATATAATGATTGAAAGTGATATATTTTCCTCAAATGTGGGCTCATGCTTATGATGTGATGTTTCAATTGAGTTATTAAGAGGAAATTAGTGGAGAATAATGTTTACTTTTACCCTAATGATTTTCATGACAGAATTTTAGTTGGTTGTCTTGTGGTCCAGCAGCATCCTATCCCATGTATTGCTCCGCTGAAATCACCTGACATGAGTTATATTTTATAACCTATAAGATGAAAGTAAATAGCAGTTTCGGCCTTCTGGTGTGAAAAAAAAAGTGAGAAAACTACTAGCAAAAATGGGCTGAGAAAGCCACCCAACCCATTGTCTGTTGCGCCATGGACAGGGTTGCTACCTGACAATTGCTATCACTGCCCCCATTGCAAGTTGTCAATTTTAATAATGCCACGTGAAATAAGGATAGACTAAGGTCATGTTAGCAGTGTTTTCTATAAAGAAATATATTATAAGAAGTAAAACAACAATAATCCCGGCACTCAAGGGGCAGATCAGATTCCCCCCCTCCTTTTAGTTCTTTAATGAAATGAAAGAGTTTAGAGATGCTACCAAATCACTATATAACTTAATAGTTGAATTAGTCGACTTCTATTGCACCAGTGGTCTACTGTGTTTGAATTCTTTAGGCGTTTGTTTACCCAATTGAGTGTGTTTATGGTGTTTATCTTGTGTTGAGTGAAGTATAGGCTTATTTTGCTTTTTTCTTTTTTGATGGAAGTTAATGGATTTGCTTGCTTATTCTTGACAAAATCTAAAGCTTCAAAGGCTAACGTGGTTAGTGTGTAGTAGTTAATAGCGGTTTGGTTTTTACCATTAGACGTTTTTGTTTGGTTTTTTTTTTTTTTTTTTGAGTAAATCTGTGTGTGGCATCTTTGATGTTTTATTTGAATCTTTTTGGTCTTGACTTAAGAAAAAAAAATTGAATTAGTAAACGATCAGTTCTTTTAGTAGCTTAAATTTAATAGTCTGGTGGTAATCGAAAAAAGAAAATTCTAACCCATGAAAAAACCAAAAAAAAAAAAAAAAAAAAGACTTCCGATTTTTTTTTTTAGATGCAAACCCAAAAAATAATGAAAATTGTTTAAAGCAAATACAAGGGCGAATGAGTAACATTCAGGACCAACAAATTATTGTGTAGCGGTCAGATAGATTGATTTTAAACCAACATTCATACGATCCCGCACTACATGTAGGATTTTCATATAAACCAATTGCAAATGGCATGTTATATCTGCTTCTTTAACAATATATATATATATATATATATATATATATATATATATTCTGCTGAAATTCTTGCCTCTTCCTTGTTATCTCATTATAACAACAAAATTTTCATTGCTGATCATCAAGCGTTGGCATGGGCATTGGCATTGACATGGCCCATGCTTTCCTGTCTTTTGATGGAGTGTGAAGGTTCTAAACATTAACATCATGTTTGATAGGAAGAAAAAGAAAAAAAAAAAAAGAATGAAAGAGAGGAAAATTAGTTTTCTTTTATAGTGTTTGATATAATGATGAAAAATAAAGAAAAAAATAGATTAAGGATAAAATTGAAAATAAAACCATTAATTTAAGTTGATTGAGTGTTTTTTTCTCATAATTAAAATGATTAAATTTGAAGAGAAAAAAATTATAAATACTACAAAAAAATTATTCAACATCGATTAATTTTTACCAACTGAATTTTTTTGTAGATAATTATCGATGAAATGTCAACAGCTTATTGATGGATCATAACTATAAAATTATTATGAAAATACCAATGAAATTTCGATGGAATGCTGGCAGAATTTATTAACAAAAAAAAATTCGTTGATATTTCGTAGATGAATATGAGGTGAAAATTTGGCAGATTGACGTGGGAAATATCGATGGAAAAATCCGGTAATCTATCAAAAAAGTTTTGCCAACAAATTATCAACGAATATTTTCGTCGATAAATAATTTTTATAAAAAATTGGAAATAAATAATACAATATAAAAGAAATGGCATAAATTAAAAATATTTTGGTTACCGACGGAATTTCCATTGATAATCCATGGTAAAATAATTAAAACAAAATTCTCAATTCCTTTTTTCCTTCCCTATCGGACTCCATCGGTTCTGCTGGTTAATTCTCCCTCTGTTGCCGATTCATTCTCTCTCTTCCATTTGTTTATTCTCTCTATCATCAGTTCTTTCTCCCTTTTGCGCCTTGCTATCCTTCTCTCTTTGTGGTTCCTACCATCGTTTTCTATCTTCATCACGCCGTGCACATATACTAACTTGAGAAATGAAAATGTGCATTGAAAATTCTATCTTTTTATTGCTTACTTTCTTTGGATTGAAATGGGAGTTTCTTTTTCTTTTTAACTAGAATTAGGTATTTCTTTGTTATTGTAATAAAAGCATAATCTTAAAGTAAATTCTCAAAGCATATTCTCAAACTTTAAATAAAATATTAATACATATGTGCTAATGTTGAAGAATTTGTCAAGTAAAATTTCAAAGTAAAACCAGAAAAGCATAACTGATCCTGTTTAATATTCTATATATCATCGCTAAAATGGGTTTCTTTGTTTTTTTTTTTTTTTGTACATTTTAATTGTAAAAGGTGTTGGGGAACATCACAGCTCTAATACCATTTGTTGAGTTAAAAGCTTCAAATCCAATCACTCCAGCTGAAGTAAAATCAAACACACAAGAGATAACAATTTAACGTAGTTCGATCTAATCAACCTACGTCCACATATGAGAAACAAGATCCATTAGTTGTAGAGAATTACAAACATACATCAAATCATCAACTTCCCTCAACAATCAATACTTATAAGACACTCTCAATTTCCTCTAGTCCTATGGAGTATTCTCAACTTAAACAAACATAAACACAAACCCTTGTGCATCCTTTCAACATAACCAAACACATACCTATATGCTCCCATACATCATACCTATATGGACTCTCTCAGTCTCCTCTAGTCCACTCACAAACAAACATACACACCGATAAGACGTAAAGCCCCAATACTCATATGTGGTGTTTATTCCACAAAACCCTATAACTCTCTTATATCTTTTTCTCATACCTAATTCTGTAGAGACTTTATATATTTATAACCATACAAACTTACTTATTAAAAATCTCTCTCGTCTTAAAATTCTTTTCTTGTAAGTTAAACTTACCTGTTAAGAATCCATTTCCTTTTAGAATTTTTCTCTTGCAAATCAAACTTACCTATTAAGAATCTCCTTTCTCTTAGAATTCTTCTTTTGTAAGTCTTCTTATCCATCAAGC